ACCACTACTACTACTACCACCACTGCTACTACTACTCCTGCTGCTGCTGCTGCTGCTGCTGCTGCTACTACTACTACTACTACTACTACTACTACTACAGTAGAAGCAGCAGCAGCAGCAGCGGCGGCGGTAGCAGGATTAGCAGGAGCAGGGGCGGCCGCAGGAGGAGTGGGTGGCGGACAGAGTCGGAGAGGAAGCACAGAGCGGGAGTCGGAATGGGAGCAGGAGCAGCAGTAGTGGCCGAAGGAACCTGGTAGTGGCAGGAGGAGGATCAGGCACAAAAACTCAGCGAAGATTGAGCGCCTGCTCACATGTCTGTTCAGTCAAATCTGAGGTTTCCGAGTCTAGCACGTGGCTTTGGTGCTGGAGTGGTGATCTGAGGCAGCGTGGCCGCCTGGTCGCAGCAACTGTCGAATTCGTCATGACCAACCCTCCCTTCAGAACAGGACCCTGCTTGCACCTCGAGCATCGACCACTGATACACTGATACAGCACTGACACACAAAAAGCTAACCTACACTACTGCAAAACCGACGTAGACAGAATCTGAATAGAAGAAGTGCACAAGACAAGGCTCAGGCTTGGTGTGAGACTGCGATTCCTGTGCACAGTATGTGCTTCGACACTTCTGTGACGAGTCTTTCCCACCAGAAATGCGAAGCAATGCTTGGCAAAAACTTGCGACCCCTACCCTCATAGAATGTAGCCCTACATCGCGAATGCCGGCAGTCTGGAGATCTCAAACGCCCGTCATCTTGACCCAAATATCAAAATCGGACTCATGCGATCCGAAAGCCTGAAGCTACAATACCTCGCACCCCGGAAGATGTAAGATGTACTCCAATCCCAATCACTCCAGATGCCTTCGAGGAGGTAATTACCACGTCGAAAGGCTGCCTTCGTCTTGGGATTCAAGGGCCATGCCCGGATGGATTACCACCGAGTGAGTATGACACACATACCCACCGGACACGTGAAAAGCGTGTTGCGGAGATTGAGAGGTTTGTTTCACTGCCGGTTGGATCAGGGTTGCCAGGTGACCCAGAAGAGGAAAGGAATGCACGCGAACCTCCACCAGTTAAGGTGATTGAGTGCGCTACAGCAACATGCCAAGCATCAGTCGCATGCCTGCAAGCCCTCCACCAGCCACAGGACGACCAGACCATCACCGAACCCAGTCAAGAAGTTCCTGAAGGTGCAGAAGCCGAGCCAGGACCCTGAAGACCCGGTAGGCCAAAACAGGCACATTCTCTCTGAACCGAGCCACAGCGGCGCCGAGGCTGCAAAAACATTGCCGCGGGAGAGCCGCTGGGAAGCGGCAGGGACACCTGCCAGCACACTTGGGTGCAGAAATTTCAATAGTTCGGGCACAAGGTGGCTTTGACGGGCGGAAGGGGTCGTCACAGAATTTAGGATATAGTCCCAAGCTTTCGGTGCATCTCCACAGCTTGCTGAGCATGAGGGCTGTGAACTTGAACAGGCTAGCGATATTATGAGACCGAGCAACAATCAGTTTTCCCTACGGAGCTATTCAATCGAGCACTGCTTGACCGGGTGGGCACCCTTTGGGAATTGAGACTTGCATGAGACTAGTGTGTCAGGATTCGAGACAACCAAATGCACGGACGGCACAGTTGAAAGGGGCTTGAAAATTGAAAAGCTGATTCGGGCTGTTCACAAAGCGGCATTCCTGCAGTTTCGTCACGAGGCGACGCGGGACTCGAACTCAGACATCGGCAGGAAGAGGCCCTCTGCACGCGCCTGCCGGTCACCTTCCACGTGGCGAAGCCACAGAACATGGCTGTGGAACTTCCGCAAGGCTGGACGGTGCCCCACGGACACATAGCTGCCCAGTTGCTTCTGCAGGTGTTGGTAGAGAAGGGACTCGCTCTGCACATCACAAGCTGAGGTGCACTCGTCCATCAGAGCGAGCTCAGACTGCGGCATCAACAGGAGCCGGGCAAAGTTGATGCGCTGCTGCTGGCCCAACGACAGAATGCTGGTCCAGTCTTTGGTTTCGTTAAGGTTGTGCCGATCAAGCAGGTCACCCAAACGAACACGCTTCAATGCCTCTGCAAGCTCACTGTCGCTGAGCAAGCCATCGTCAATGCGCGGGTAGAGCAACTGGCTGCGCAGAGAGCCTAGGAACATGTAGGGCTTCTGCGGCATAAAGAATACATGACTCCTGTTACAAAGCTGTATGGTGCCTGAGCCGTTGGTCCAAAGCCCGGCAGCTGCGCGGAGAAGTGAGCTCTTGCCAATACCGCTCTCACCTGTGACAAGGAGAGACTGCCCGTCCAAGAGCTCGAAACTTAAGCGGCTGCAAAGCACCCGCGGCACGGCATCTGCCCGCAGCGGCGTCTTTAGCGTCACATCGTGGAAGCGCACACGCACGGGACCGTCTTCCGTGGTGTCCGAGTGGATGCACTGCTGCCCGCGCACTCCTGGCCTTCTGCATGCAGCCCGCTCGGCCTGGCAGTCTCGGAGGGCGAGGTCGAGGCGATGGAGCCGTTGGACTCGGACAGACACATCGCTGAGCGCCTCGAGACGATGCATTACCAGCGTCATCGCGTTCAGGATGGTGTTAAAGGCCATGCTCGTCTGTGCAATGACGCCGAACTCGACCTTCCCCTTAAGGTACGCAGGGCCGACCAGGACGGGTGTGACCACGAAGGTCGCCCACTGAAAATTCCGATTCAGCATGCCATAGCCAGCCGCGACCAGGACTCGCTGGTATGCTGTCTCGAGCAGGGTGGTAAACGCTGCGTTGAACTTCGAGAGCTCGGCCTCCCCACCCTCGAAGAATGCGATGGATTCTGCGTTCTCCCGCGCTCGGATCAGCTTGTATCGAAGACCAGCTTCCTGCTGGACGCATCTCATCTGGTACAGCCCGAGCCAAGCACCAAAACCTCGTGTTGCAAGCAGTGTCCCAAGGATCGCATAGGCCATGCCACCGAAGCATGCCGTTGGAGAAATGGCATACAGAGTCGGAGCGAAGGCTAAGACACTCAGAACGGTCCTCACCACGTCTTGCGACAGTGACACCGCGGTGTTCACGAAGCTCCCGACATCTTGGCATATTCGCTGGTCCGGATTGTCGATTTCACCCGTCAGTGTAAGGCTGTAGAAGGACTGGCGCTTCGATGCAGTGCCATCTGAAAGGTATCTGCTAACCAACCGTCTCGTCAGAGACTCGCGCCAGGCAAGTTCGAGGAGGCCAGCGACATACTCCCGCAATGCAACGATGGGGCTGATGGTGAGGATGACCTGCCGAAAAGGTAGACCCGCAGTACATTATGGACTCTCAAGCTTGAACGCACTGCCGCGCACTTTGCTGCAAATGCATGGCATGACCCGGCAGTGTCTTCCTTGGAGGGGGACGACACACTAGACTGCAGTACACTACAGCGCCACTACAATACTGAATTGCATTTGTGCTCATCTTCGTTGCGGCGCATTGCCATTAGCCAGGCCTTCCCCACCTTCCACAAGCCAAAGCGGAAGGCCGTGGTCTTCCGCTTCTGCAGGGCCGTCATCAGATTCCCGTGCACCTCAAGGTGCAGGGCTCAGGTCTTAAAGTGTTTCAGGGCTGAAAGGGCTCCCGGGGTTGAGGAGCTCGTGCTTCGGCCGTCATAAGGATCTTAACATCGAGAGTGATCGGATCTTTGTGATTGAGGCTTGGCCGTCTATGGGTCAGGGCTGAGGAATTCCGGCTTGGGGCGTTTGCTAGGACCTTGCAGTGAAAGGGCTGTTTAAGCGATGCTTCTGGCACGCTGCAAAATCCAGTTTGAGACTCATAGCAGAGCTCGTTCCTCTATGCCTGAAGCAACTCTGAGACGTATGTTTACCTCCTACACAATCGTCGATGCTCGTGCTTGTCAACAACGAGTCGGAAAGGAAGTCTACGCCAAACGTGAAAAGTCTTAGGCAATGCTGCTGTCTTCAGCACGCTTCGGCTTTGTTGCCGAACGATAGCGGCTCTGCTGTCTGTGATACTGACCCCTTGAGGCTGAGGGGTGGAGTAACACCCTTAAACCCTAAACCCTAAAAACCCCAAACTCTCCTTAAACCCTAAACCCTAAAACCCCAAACTCTAAAGCCCTTACAGAGCTCAGGCCATGGGCCTTCGCGTAGTGCCGGGCAGTGGCAGCCTCGCCCAGGAGCAAGCAAAAGAGGCAGACGCATAAGCCCACGGCCTCTCCAGGTGATCGCAAGCATGACTATGATAACTATTACTGTTGTTACTGCCATTATAATAATTTCTGCGGTGTTAGTATTCTTGGGATTAGCAATGTTACTATGTTTACTACTACTGTATCTACAACATTGCTATTCCTCTTTCTATGACCCTTACCCCTATTACTAGTACTATTACTCTTACTCTTAGTGTCACGTAGTATTACTACTTGTAATACTATTGACTACCACGAGTACTATTACTATTCCTCTTACGCTTACTCTTACTATTACTATTACTATTACCAGTACATCTAGTACAATTCCTGGCGCTATTACGATACTACTATCACTATCAATATCATTGTCACTTGTAACTTGTCACTGTCGCTTCACTGTCACGACTACTACTACCATAACTGTTACTATTACCAGTACTATTACGATTACAATTACTATGACTACTACTATTGCAATTACTATTTTACTATTACTTTTGCTTTTAATACTAGTTCTATGACTGTTGCCATCACTGTTACTATTTCTATGGCTATTCCTATTCCTATTCCTATTGCTATGCGTATTGCTATAGCTATCGCTATCGCGATTGCTCATGCTATTGCTATTGCGTTTGTGTCTGCGCTTGCACTTTGCTCTTGCCATTGCTGTTACTCTTACTCTTGCTCGTACTCTTAGTATTACTATCATGATCACTATGACTGCGATTAGGAATCTGATTAGTTATGATGATTCTAGATATCAGTAAACTGCTGGTTTTAATAGTGGTGATAACCCAAATGATAATGTGACTTGCTCCCGGTTAGGGTTCAGGGTCTAGGGCGTATGGTTCTCCCCGAGTCTGAAACGTGGACTCCAACCAAGTAAAGGGCCCTCCCGCAGATTTGGGGACGTCTCGGAAGTTCAGTACCTGCAGGAATCACAATCGGTTAATCATCTGCTCTCTTGCCATGCTGCTTTTGAGCTGTGATGAATGCATCAGGTGATTGTTAACGCACTTCTAAACCCTAAACGCTTAAAACCTGGGCTATGAGGCCATGAACATTGCATCGAGCTTTGGGCCATCCGTTCCAAATGCCGCCGCAGTGCCCTCGGCCCGAGCCCGAAACCCTGCAATGTCTCTATTATGTGTTGATTGTACTGGGCTGTACTATACTACACTGTACTAGCTAGAGTTGGACTAGACCAGACTGGACCAGATTATGCCATGCTATACGATACGATTTACTAGGGCTGGACTAGACTTGGCTTGACAAAACTATACAAGACCACACTAGACTAGAGTAGACTATACTAGAACTCGACTGGACAAGTACTGTACTACACCATTCCATGCTATGCGATGTCATACTATACAACACTGACTAATACTACAAGTAACTACATTAGATTCTGGACCCGGAGCCCTGCCTTCCATCGCTTTTCCTCGAACAAGGTCCCGGTCAAGGACAAGACGGCCCGCAACAGCAAGCTTTCCGGCTTGGAGGCCATGGCTGCTCCAGGATGGTGCGGCTTTGGGATTGGGGATTGGAGTTTAATCTTCGGGAACTGGGATATACGGTCTGGACTGAAGTGTGCCGCAGCACACTGCGTGCTGCCTTAAGCCTTAAGGCCCTCGAACTGTGTACCTGTCAAAAGGAGCTGCGGCCGTTGCATTACAAACCCTGCCGATTGGCAAAACTGCCGAACCGAACCAACTGGAGGAGGATGGCAAATCTGGGGTTCGGTTGTGGGTTTGGGATTTGGGCTCCGGGCTCTTGATGAGGGGTTCCACCCCCTTCCACCGCCAGTGCCATCGCCACCGCCACTGCCACCACAACTACCACCACCACGACTACGACGACAATGACGACGACGACTACGACCAAGCCCGATTTTTTGGGCCCGAACGACCACTATTTCTGTCATTACGGTTGTTTTGCTCTTATCATTTTCCAGGGAAGTCGACGTTATCCTCAGACAAATCACCTTGTCAACTGAAGGACGGGCGTGCTCTCGAGGCTTATGTATCATCCCTTTCACGAGCTTCGACTTCTCACATCTTGCTGGCCTGCACCTTCCACGATCTTTGCATCCCGGGCGGAGATGCCTTGCAAGCAAAGACGGGAGAGCCGCAGGAAAGGCACTTGTCCTGAAGGGTTCGCGACGCTCGGAACCCGCACGTGACCAACACGCGAGGGGCTTTGCTGACCTCCCGTCGGAAAATCTGAGACCCTGTACTGATAACAGAGATTGCCAGTGTAGATATACACAGACAGTGCAGGACACCACGACCATACGTCAGGACGACCACGATCACAAGGAGACCACGAGAAACGGCCACCCGGAATGTCAGGAGACCACCAGAAGACGCCAGACTCAGAGACCCACCAAGAAAGCAGCAGGAGACCACGGACCACCAACCGACCACACAACCACGTATAGCAATTTAATAAGAATCTGGCTTTCTTGGGGATGGGGCACGGCACTATGTACCACACCACAGCAGGAGCCGCGTTCCGAGGAACGTTTCTGCGCGTGCGTGCGTGCGTGCGTGC